GTTACGTATAAGTGACCGAAACATTCGTGTCTCGAATGTCGCGTGTCATGCTTTCTCCTTGAACTGGAAGCCTCGCTTAATATAGAGCACAGCGGTCGCGGTGACTTCAACGTAGTATTTCGTAACGTAACTTAACGTAAGAAAGAGGGGCAGTGTGAACCAGCCTTTACTGTCTTTGTGTTCTGGGGGACACATACAGAAAGAGTCGGAACAGCAGATATTGTGAGAATAGACATGTTCAGAGGTCATAGATACCACTAAAGCAATCTCAGCAAGGTGCTGGACGACGAAAGAACCCTCATTTACGGGCTCTTGGATAGATGTATATTAATGGCTATTCCTTTTGAAACGGGCGGCAGCTTGTGCCACCTAGCCTGACATTTCGTCATCTCTTAGTTTTTTAAATGTGTATAAATATTGTTCTAACAAGACGTTCCCATTGCTTATTTTTATACGTATTTTCACTCCGCCCTAGATCTTTCCCCCCAATCTTCCATATCTGCGTATGTCGCTGGCGATGCTGCTCCCCAGTTTACTCCGTTTTCTCCGTTTAGCTTTTTTTTTTTAAATTCCTTCGAAAAATTTTGTTTCGGACAATTAGCCTTTCATTATAACATCTTATTATTCGCTAATAAACAATTAAATATAAGTTTTTATACCATCAAATTTCTATTTACGCAGTGGCGTTTAAAGGGGCGGTGCAACGGTATTGAACTGGAATGTTTTTCATTTACACGACGTAACTGGCACTAGTGGGACCCAGGTATACTCGTAGGCAACGCCATTGATTAAGAATCCTCTTTGTTGCGGTGTAATTTCAAGGAAAAAAAGCGGGCGTTTTCTTCCAGTCTTTCCTTCGCAAAACGTAGCGTATAGCACGGGAGTCGCAGTATCCCCAGTGACGATATTTGAATGCGGCTCATAGGTTGGACATTTAATGAACTCTCGACTGGGGCTCGTGATAATCGATAATCAATCCCCACCCCTGCCCGTTTCGATCTGGATGAGCATCGTACCTAGGGTGACCACCTTTCTGCTAGCGAAATGCGGGATGCACGGGACCGGAGGAGGGGGGGGGGGGGGGAGGGGGGGGTTTGGCGGGGCGGAGGGCGGGGGGAGGAATTTACGAACACACACAACAGGAACCGAGGCTCTATTAATACATTTAATATCTTGTTCTGTTTATACACCCGCAAATTGCGTTGCAATAATTAATCTAAAATCATTTTCACTCTCAGGGTGTCAAAGTTGAAAGTATAAAAATCAACTGCAGCAGAGCTCAGTGCATCAAATGAAATTAAGAAGCAGTAAATCTTTTTCGGGTATTCAGCATGGTCCTACACACATTTTTAACATTATTTTTTTTTCGACCGCTGTGAATTGCAAGCTTCTTGCCGTCACAAAAAAAAAAGAAAAAAAAAAAACATTTAGCAACATTTTTGCATTGACACGGCGATATGAAAATAATTAGAGCACTTCATATTAAAAAATTTGGCGAGCAGTTGTCTCTTAAAATATTTTGCCACCAGGGGGAAAGGCACAACGGTGCATGCGCGTCGGGTCTCCTGCAAAAAAAAAAAAACGGTCGCTTCCTGTAATGCTTGGATAGAAAACGGCGTACCATTGCGATTCTCAGTGAATTCCGCGCTTCCCCGGCCGTGCCCCGTTGTTCGGCAGCACCTTGAGTTGCAGAGTGAATTTTACGACAGTGTGAAATGCGGGACATTTTGAAGATTTGGGAATTTCGCGCGTAACGCGGGACACGAGCCCTCAATGCGGGACAGTCCCGCGAGTTGCAGGACGGGTGGTCACCCTACCGGCGTGCGGTCGTGTATCACTACCGCGTGGTGTACGCTAAAGACCCCAGGCTAGCGGTTGTACTGCACTGGCTAAATTGCTCATCCACAGCCAGTGACTTGTCGCAGCTTTGAAATGGCTGACGAACTACACGCTGTTTAAATATACACACAACCCCGATTATAATCGATAGCTCGACAAGCATTCGAATAGTGGTTCGTGTCTAATCGCTGCATTGAGTACAATAACCGAGCCCTAGCAGTGCCTAGAACTCAGCGCGTGTTCTGTGCTTTGCCAACATCTGCGCGTGCTTTGCCAACCTCAACATTGGCGGCCACTAATCTCCACTAGAAGGGGCTGGATGGCGCATTGAGCAAACAGGTATGTAGCCACCGGAAGTAAGCGGCTTGTCCCGGAAGTGAGCGCTTGGCAGGCTTTGTAACCCTTCCGAGTGCTGGTTCGATAGGCGTTCAGGGCGCTGGATTTTCGCTTGTTCCCTCAAGAGAGCCTGCTTGTTGCACAGTAAGAGCGCATGCGAACCCGAGAAGTATCATGGGAAGCCATGCAATGTAAACATTTCGAGATTCTAGTTGATTAAGTTGTGAGTATGTCCCAAGTTCAATTGCCTCATTTTCGGGATTTAATCCAGAACGGGAGTATTAAAACCCAACCAAATACACAAAAAAGCATGGTGCAAAATATTGACTGAATGCACTAGGAAGCCGAGCGCACGCCCGACTTCCGGGACAAGCATCGAACTTCCGGTGACTTCACTAGCGCCAGGCTCGGAGAGCAGCTAAGCATCATCCAGCCCCCTGTACCCCTATACTAGAGATCAGTGTTGGCGACATATAATCGGCTCTAAATCACGTGACCGTCTGTTCCGACTGTGAGTTGAGGGACTGTGAGTTGAGGCTCTAAACAGCGCCCTCAATATGGCGCAACGTACATTCTACACCATAAAGTTCGTCGTTCCTCGCAGACGCTAGTTAGGAGCTTGAACTGAAGATGCGCGGACCTCAGCCAGGCTAAGCCAGGCCAACCATACCACTCCCCCCCCCGCCTCCCAATATGCGCTGTGAATAGCGTGCTCAAATATGGCGCCCATTAAATAGCTTGTAGGTGTCGCCATTGCTGAGTACTGATGGATATTTCTACTTACTGGTTCCATCGAGCTACTAGTTCTGCGCTGTGAAATTAACACGGTGAACCGAACGCTCGTGGAACATGGCCGCGAATGACGTTACGGGCACGCTATTTACATGTCTTATCACGGGGCGTACACTCCTCGGATATCACTACAAGCGAGATTGTCGCGCGTTGACGCCACCGAGGACAAGGCTCGCAAATACAGTACCCTTGACCGTGCATGAACTATTGACGTCACGGGTGTGATACGCTTTGCATTTCTCGCTGGCCGACCTTGGGGCAATAGATAGAGAGATGGCGCTCACGTCGTTTCGTTTGCGTACCCCTTTGAATTCTTTCGTATACAGAGGGTTCATTTTTTTATCGAAGAAGTTTAGAAATAAATTACGTGAAAACTACATAAATGCGGTCTGTGCAAGTGATCTATACGCTCAGGCGGACAGTATGGCAAGAGAGAATGCAACAAGAAAAAAATAATTAAAACTTACTAATTACTTTCTAATTGGACGTTTTAGGGCACGCATTTATATTTGAAAAAAAAATAGAGTAATCAATATTAAAGGCTCAACCCAGTTTTTAAACATTTTGTATCGAGCACGCAGATGGAAATTTTCAATGTCAAGTTTTGCCCTGGAAATCTGTCGATACCGAAACCAAACACGCGATGCCCTCTGAAAGAAGAACCATCGTTTGACGCCGGAGGGTCACGTGTTAAAAGGTACTTTTAGCGAACCGTTACCGCGTTCCGCGTGCCGCACTATCACAGCCTTTGAAGCATGCTTTTAAGCGAGCTCCGGAGTCCTACCGTGACCGTGGGGCGCCCGCTTAAGAGCATGCTTTAAAGGCTGTGGTATACCGCGTACCGCACTACAGTGCCGAACGCAGAGCGTGATAACGGTTTGCCAAACGTCTTTAATTACTAAAGTTGGGTCACTATTTTGCGTTACATCACGTTGGAGTTGATGTACGCAAAACAGTCTGTGCTCCGTGGCTGGCGAATTAAAGCGATAAGCCACTTTATCGGCCACAACAAGTTGCTTTACTTTGCTGCGCTATATCGCTGAAAATCATTTTGACTAAGGGTACGAGTGGTTGATATCGTTAAGAAAGGCAAGGCAACTTTTCGTAGCCGCTAGGTCCACCAGAAGTAAGCGGCTTTTCCCGGAGCGAGCATTAGACAGGCCTTCAAACTTTTCTGAGCGTCCGAGAGTTGGTTAGAACAGTGAACAGGGCGCTAAATTTGCACTTACTTCAAAAGAGCGTGCTCGGCGCGCAATAACAACGGATGCTGAGCAGAGAAGTCTTGTGGAAAACTACTTCGTGTGAAAATTTCTAGATTGTAGTTGATCTAGCGTGCATCTCCAACGTTCAAACATCTTTTTCTTGGTATCTGGAGAGTTGCTGGAAATCGTTAGGATGACTCCGACGCCGCCTTCGCGCATGCAGCGTATCGTTATCGGGGTATCGGAGGTATCAGAAGGATCAACTAAAACTCTCTATTTAGTGCAAAAAGAGACTGTTAAAACCTACTTATAAGTGCAAGAAAGTATGAAAACAAACATCGATAGAGTGCCCTAAGAATCCCAGAAGACGCTAGACTTCCGGGAAAAGCATCGCGCTTTTGATGGCTTTGTTTGTGCCCGGCTCAGAGGACAGCTATTCGTGATTTAGCTCCCTATAGCGACGATCAGTCATTCGGGAACGCGTGACATCCCATTGACCACGTGATCTTGCCTGTGGGCTTTAGTTTCAGCTTGTTGTTCTTTGTCTCGTAAAAAAAAGGACGTGGCTTTCAACTATGTTATTAACTAAGTAGTGCCTTTGCACTCATTAAACCGCTCAGCATTAGAAAAATATATATACACATTGGCGAGTCACTGTCCTTTAACAATGCTTACCGGAACTCTGAACTCTACGTCATTCGTTTTTGCAGATGTTATAGCACAGCAGAATGTAATATGTGTATTATAATTATTTTTATACGCTTAATTATTGTCAGCATTCATAATGAGTCACAGAAAGAAAGAAACAAAATTGTAGTTTGCCGGTTGCCTTCAGCCGCCTGTAAACCACACTGAGCAGCGGCCGGACTCTGGGTACATAACGTCCCCCTTCTGGCAGTTGAACGCGTCGGCAAACACGGGGAAATTCATCAGCGGTATGTTGACTCGCAGCCTAGGAGGCGTGTCCCCGAAGAACGCCAACCTCTGATCATAAAGTGGGTCCGCCGCCCGACTGCAATGTGCTCGGGCAAACTGAGTAAAGAACCATCGCTGGGTCATGACCGATAAACCTGATGGCAGTGATTTCTTCACCTTGCGCATGAAGTAGAGGTAAAGCGGGTAAACAATGGCGTTGTCAGCCATATCGTCTTCGATGGTTTTGATTAGGTCCACGTCGTTTTTGAGGAGATTTTCGAGCGCGGTCTTGTACTGTCTCCAGAAACAGTCGCGGATCCGGCGGTGTTGGCGGATGGTGTCTCGACTCCACCAGCTGCGGACCCGAAGCTTATGGTCCACAAAAGATCCGCGTTCGTCGATGGCCTCAACCAGTCCTCGCAGAATCGGAGCGCCCACGATCGGGATGTCCAACATTCTGATCGATCCCGAGTGTGTCAGGTTGGCGAGCGCAACGTTGGAGTAGGGGCAAAATAGCGCGTTGCGGCCGTGGACGTACTCAACAACTCGCCTGAGGCTGGAGACGTGGAAACGGTTGTCCCAGTCCCGGCTTCGCTTGACAGGATGATAGTAGGAGCGGCGACTGTTGATGAGGATGTTGTAATAGCTTTCGACAAGTCTAGTGCCTCGGAAGGCCGGAACGTCCAAGTTGTAATACTCCGCGATGGGTGTTAAGTTCTGGACGGTGCCAAAGAAACTAAACTTCATGTTCTTGAGCTTCTCGGCTGCGATTGCTCGTTCTACGGGATCGTAGCGAGTGGTGTGTCCAACGACATTTCTTAAAATCTCGTTGAGACCTCTAAACATGCTGGTAACTTCTTGGTCGTACCGGGTGTCGTAGTGCAGGACGCTATTGGGTAGTCCCAGTGACATCCTCAAGAATGTCCTGAGGCCCTGCGGGTATATGAGCTCCAGGAGTCTTGCACAACCCTGAAGCCGCTCCGGGACTCCGCTGACGAAGCCGTCCGAACTCAGCGGCACGAAATATCCCACCTCGTCCGGTAGCAGAGGAGACAGGTGTACCAGGACACGGTACCCGACGTACATCAGTAAATTGGGGACCGTGGTGCGGCCCAAGATCTTTGCAAAGTCTTCAACGTAATCCGGTGCCAACGTTTCAACGCTGACCTGACTCTCATCAAGCATAGGGTAGTTTTTGAATACTAACGACAGATACTGCTTCCACTCCCAGTTCTTATGCTGTGGAAGCTTGTCTACCGTGCGGGTTCTGTACGGTGGAGGTTCGAACCTTTGCATGCTGATCGCATCTTCCAGCTGCACTTCGAGTCTGACAAGCTCCCCAGCCGAACTCTCCGCCATTGGCTTGGCCACACCAAGTGCCCGAAGCACGTTGGCTACTTGAAACACGTGGTCCGTCAGATTGCTCGATGTGTACCATATCTGGCTTCTCTTCAGTATGGTCTTTGGGACGTCAAGATGTATACTATGTTTGTTCTCGTACTCGTTTCTCACGGTCACCTCGATGAAAGGAAAGACGGCAAGCGCGGCGTCTACCTTGGCCACGAGTGGGGAGAGGCTGGCGTTAGCGGGAAAGTCGGTGGGCCAGTTGCTCATTCCGATGTCATCGAGCACCTCCTGGAATGGATCCCAGCCCAGTCCGTTCCGGCTGTAGCCAGCGGTGCAGTTGGGCAGGAAGAATGCTGCCTGATTGATGAACATGCTGGGGAACTCTTTATACGGGTTGGACGCCTTGTAGACGTGGAACATCTCTTCTAGGTCGTTGAGCATCTTAGCAGTTATCTGTAATATGTAATGATTGTAGAATTACTTTCACGGAACAAACTGGATAGCATTGTATGACCCGTTAGTCTACAGATTCATGTAGAAATCAGTACGGGGAGAGAAGAGAAGATTGAAAAAATAAAACCTCACATCTGCCAATTTCGGCGGATTGGTGTCGTAGCTATAGTAATATAGCTAGGGTTCATTTCTTAATTTATTTATTACATGTACCCTCAGGGTCTTCGGCATTGAAGAGGGGAGTGGTTGCGAAAATAAATTGTGAATGAGTAAAAGAAAGCAGTTACTAGAACTAAAAAAAAAAAAAAATGGCGTATATATATACAGTATTAGCTAAGGCGTTCTTGAACAGTTGGAGGACTTTTTTTTTGTAAGCTGTTGGTTCGGGAAGGCAATTCAACTATTCTGATGTGCGTGGGAAAAATGACTGAAAAAAAAAAAAACACAAAACGTTCGTCCTACATGTGGGATACCGACATTGTGAACGTGATCTAATCGAGATGAAACGTACTGGGGAGGTAATATAAGTTCGGCGCGGAGGTCTACCCACTATCCTTTGAATCAAAGCCGATCAGAGCTCGTCATTCTGACGTCACCACAACCCCTGCAAAAGAAGCATATGAACTTGCGCTCCGCATAGCGCCCGCTCTGCCGTGCGCTAAGCAACAAAATGGCGTCGCCCACAACACCATCGGGCAATGAATTGTCGATGCTCTGAAGCGTCGCATTTTTCAGTGGCTCTAGACAGCCCTTGACACGATGATCGCCGCTCTGAACTGGCTCTGATAGCTTTCAGCGTTTTACACAGTTCACTTGAGAAGAGACGGTCCATTGTTCGGACACCCCACCTGCGTCTCGTACGAAATGGAGGGCAGCGCGGCCGCGAGGGACCCCGCGGTCTTCCTTCCGGCACCGGGGGCGCCGCAGACGTGCTCGTAGAAGTCGTCGCAGGGTTCGACGGGGTCATGCGACGCTCCGGCCGGACGACCGGACGTTTCGAGACGGTGGCTGCCGGGCCTCGGAGCGGCGGTGGCGGTGGCGGATGAAGCTTCTTCTAGGTAGGCGTGGTGCTTCCGGGAGGACCCGGCGCCGCGGTGTCGATGGTGCCACCGGCTACCCGGAGCCAACTGGGCCGCCTCGTGGTCGTGGAACTCGTAGTCGATGTTCCGGTGGTAGTCTGCGTTCGAGTAGGTTGGGCTATCACCAGACATGCACACGCTACGGAAACAAAATTACTAACTACCTGTACTCTTTATTTCTTCAAAAGGTAAGAATACGTTACTCCTTCGTTTGATTAAAAATAAACGCTTTACTTCAGCTTGAAGGTTTCATGGTGTTGACTCGTTACTTTGAATATGTCGTTCTTCATAAAACGGTAACCGCTTCCAATACTCATCGTTGATAATAATGCTCTTCCCTTTAACGCGTTAATTCAGGTATAACTGGGGATATACTGACATACCTTGCGCACCTTATTTTTAGGGTAAATCTAGAGTTTTTTAGTCGTGCAGATTACAGGCGCAAGCTGAGTTGAGAACTACACTGGCCACTTGGGTTGTACAGGCTCCTCACCAGTGGTAGAGGTACGACGCAGGACACTGAGCAGAATGTTCTAGGGGGAACGCCAAAGAATTTTAATACGCGTAGTTACACAGGGCCCCGTCATGCAGCAACGTCTTTTGCCCCTGCTTGTCTACCCGGTATTGCCGGTGAGAATCTAAATAAAAAAAAGCAAGATATAGAACGGGGAAAAAAATTAATAATTATTTTTACTATTCCGCGCTTCAGTAGGGCCGAACTCTTCATTTAGTGTTGCTGGTGATGCTGGTGAAAACGATCTCTAACGAATAATGGAGCCAGAGGGCGCACCTTACGATAGGCAGCTTTCTCTCATTTTTTTTTCTCTAGTAAATTCATTTACGCAATTGGCCCGTGTTGCAACGCCGTTTCTTCACTCTCCCGTATTTATTATTATTTTTTTTTTTTGCGCCGAACGGGCCTGTTGGAAACGGGCTGCGGCCCGGACGTCATTGGAAGAACCACGGCCACCTGTGGGTGTCCTTCGCAGAGCCGAATTTGGCCCGCGGGCCCGGGGTTCGGTGAGGCCTGAATTATAGACCTTTTCCAAGTAATCGCCTCGTGCGGGGCGTTATCTTTGCTCACTAGGCTGCGGAAGGCGTTCTACCCATGCGCGGTAGCTCTTTTCCACGAAATATGAGACGGCGCGCATGCGTCCAGAGCCCAATGACTCAGCATTTTTTTTCCTGGGTGATAAGCGCCGCTGGGAAGGACGATAGGGCGTATTAATAAAACGCCCTATTGCTGTTTTCGCTGACGTCTTGAGAGAATCGTGGCGTAGCAAGTACGTGGCACCTTATCGATCCGGAACCAATCAGATTGCAGGATTAGGCAAAAAAGATAACGCCGGAGGACTGATCTGCAGACAAGAAGCGTCAACAGAAAAAGCCACGACCCTGCGCGTCTTCGGCTCTCGATTCATTTCACAGTCGTCGTTTGCAGCACATGCTCGTAAGTGTTGCTTCCATTTATCTTCTGCCAAGAACATATATTTTGATTAGGGGGTAGTGCGCGATTATGCACGTTGAGCGTGCATTTCTCCCCTACAGGTTTATTGTCCTTGGAGGATACGATTAAAAAGAGCTGTTTGTGAGCATGTGCTGGCGAACAATGACCGATTATATGATCATGATGTTTAAACTCCGCGACTGGGAAGGAAACTTGGAGACAAAGAAGACGGGCTAGAAGAAAGTGGACACCATTGATATGGCTTTCAGGCGAAAACTTTCTATACAGCCGTCACATTTGAGATCACTTCCTGTAATCGCCCAGACAGTGCTCGTTCAAAAGGGCCGGGAGAACCGGTTCCTTTGAAGCATGATGCAATATTCGTGTAAACGTTGTTACCAGCCACGAAATATGTTCTTCAGCAGGCTTATGGAATTTGTTCTGGAGTCTCGCTCAAGTTAAAGCCAAGTTGCCCAACCTGATCAGGCGAAGACTTTCCATTTAGTAATTTGATGGAAGACTTCAGCATTTGTGTTAAGCTTCGTCGCTATCTTTAGTGGCATGAAAAATGAAAGCCCTCACTATATTTTCCAGCTTTGAAAGGGGTGCTGGCAAATTCGGGCAAGTGTATTAGAAATTTCATGGAAATTTCTTTTTTTAAAACAAAGAACTACAGTGTTGCTGGAGGGTAGTTAGCGCTAAGCGATACTTGACTATAGTGGATACACACGCACGCGTACTTATTGTAAAGGGAGGCGCATTGCCGTGTTCGCATCTCAAAATTGATTGCAGTCCTGGAAGTATTCGTTCCTACTGCAGAGCTTCCAGGATTGCTGTTGGCCCTGACAAAAACTTTATATCTCCCTGGTTCCTGACTTGCAAGAACCAGGCAGACTAGCGTTCTTGTCAGGTTGCACAGTGATGAGAACATTTCCATGCTCTTTCACGTGGCGAAGCTTTCATCGTCGTACTCATGATGGTGACTCTCTTTGCACAAGATGGCTTGGACATATTCTCGTTCTGCGCAGGTGACTCGTCTGCTACGAGGGTTCTGCTGCTTGAAATGGAAACCACAAATGTTCTTCGAAGTAAATGATGTCGAGGAATAACTACCCACACGGAAAAATGGCGCCAAGCTATATCAAATACTCAGGAGCACAATGGGAAGTACATTGGTGGTGAGGTTTGCGAGCTGTGAATAGGGCACACTTCGTCATTTTCAAAATCAATGCGAATAGTGAGTTTGCATTGCCACGTGACCTAGTTAGTATTGCAGCATATGTCACTGGAACGACGAGAGCCCCTGCACGACATTGAGACCACCAAAGAAGCTAATCCTTCGGAAAAATGTCATTTCTGCGTTATCTTGTTTCTCATAGCCACTAGAGCGGCAGGTATCAGAATCAGCTGGCATACATTTTAAATTTATCTCCTTCAAAGGCTTTTCTGTTTCAATACAACGCGTTTGTGAGCAAGCGGTTCTGAGGGTGACTGATGGGCTCTCTCTGTAGAAGTAGTGCAGTTTAGCTAAGAGTGTGTGTAAAAATTCACCGCGAAGTCTGGGACGCGCTAACTCGTTGAGACACGATTGAAGTGCCGCTCAACTCTTACGTTGGTTTTGCAGTGCTTTCTGAGAATTTTCGAGAAGACGCTGCTCCTAGCAAGATGGGCCAGCTTGCTAGAAGCAGCGCCTTAGCTAATGGTGTCATTAAAAGAATGTTGTAGGCGTTACCATAAAAGAAGTAACGAAATACGTTACTCGATCGTTACTTGCAAATAAAAGGAAGCGGGATCGACCTCCCTTACCTCAATATAAAAAAAATACGTTATCATTACTGATAAAATTAAGGAGCATTACTTTTGCGTTACCTTGAAGCTATGAATTAAAACGTTTTGCTATTTAGACGTTACAAATATCCATAAGCGCAGTATCCCAAATTTATGTTTAGATTTTATATTAAAGAAAAGAAAATATTGAAGAAATTTAAAATATTCCGCTTGTTTGATGAGTGACAAAATTCACATGACTTGGCCTAGCACATCAACAAAAATTGAATTGTAATATGTTTAAGCATTGGGAAGAATATGTAACAAGTAACTTAACTACGTGACCCGTGACTCGAAATAACTAACATAAGTACGTTATTTTGCTGGTTTGAAAATGGAACGAGCACGTTTCTATTGTACCGGTAACGACGTTACTTATAACACACTACTCCCAACACTGCAAGGAAAGCCCGATTTCGATTAGTCTACAGAAAACAACGAGCGCATTTCACGCCGTTTGGGCCAGACCAACACCCCTAGAAGGAAAATACAGTAGTGCTGAATGTCCTCCGTCACCTATTGAGAACCAGAGCGGATCACAGATAGGTCACAAGTGTTCTTTCAGCGTTCTGAAGGGGCCCGTGTTCTGACGTATTGAACGCGAGTTCCAGCAAACCACTAATGCCCAGCACGTGCCACGAACTGGCCCTCATTGGGTGACATACCAAATTCACTAGATCCTGGGAAATTAAAACCATTGCCTTCCCTGCCTGCTACCCGGGCACAAACAAATACTGACATACAGACGAACGGAACCTCGCATGGCGATTGGCTGATCGGTTTCAGTTGACATGGCTATCGCCATTTCGGTCCATTAAAACCTTCGAAAGGATCGGTCTGAACCAGTCGTGCCTAGGTCGCCATGGTACATCATCTTACTGAAAGCGTTCCTCGCCAATATAAGCGTCTTTGGCACTGCGCATTTCATCAACTTATATATTATTCCTATGTCCAGAGATTTTTTTTTTATAGCGATGTTGTCCATCTTCCGTACTTCGGGAAAGGGAAATCATTTTTCAACGCCGCCAAGCATCGTTGCCGCGTGGGGTAGCAGTGCGAAGATGCGTGCTTGTTCGGCCGGTGTGTGAATAACAAAATCTCGGCAATATTTGCCCTCTTTTCTTTGGGAACAAACTCAGTGGCGCCATCCATCGGGTAGCACTGGCACATTTCCGGTCTGCGTATATTTCCTAACTTCTTACGCTTCGTTGTTTCATCGTAGGATTGAATGACGTCTGAGAGTGCTATAAGCGACTGCCTCCCAAAGAAAGCACGTAGATTTGATCCAGGGAATGGTACAACCCCCCCCCCCCCCCGGTCTAGTTCAGAAGGCTAGTACACACTGGCGCCACCGCGTTTCAACCCAGGCAAGAAAAAGCCAATAAAGTTCCCCGTCACCAGCTAATATAGATAGGCTCACCAGTAACAGGGATGTCAATAAGAAACTGTTGATTCCATGAACCGAAATAAGCGACCTTACGGGAATAACTATAAAAAAAAAAAGTGGCCTTATGCCACTTTGTCGCCTAAATACACCCCAATACTTCAGTTCCATGTGCAACGGAATACCATCAAACTGACGGCCCCAACTTTCACAAAGGGCTCGATATCTTTGCGATATAACATATATTAAACAGCTAAAGAACGTATCAAAAACTAAAAAAAAAAAGAAAAAACGGAGGTTTTTCGGTACGGTCATGAAAACCCCGATTATTTTTTTTCCTTCATTCAAACGTACAGCCTGCAGATATTTTGTTTTTAACAATATTGCACGAGCCCCAATCGGTCCGTAGATCAGCGCCTTAGTGCGGTGTGAAGCAGCGAGTCACTGAGATCATAGGCGTGTGCCTCCCGCCAC